AGACTGAGTGTCTCCTCTTCCTAAATCTTGCAAAAATTGTTAGAAAATGGGAGATAAATGTATGTAAGTTATGGAAAACTGAAAATAAAATTATAAAAAAAAATAATTTAGCTACCATTATCTGGTTCTTCTTAGTTGACCAATGCACTTTATTCTCATTCTCCTCTATAAAGAGCCAGAGACACCCCAGCCTTAACAGAGGTCTAATATGCATGCATTAGAAATGTAGAAAGGAGAAAACCTATAACATGCAAAGGAGCAAAATGCAAAAACCATTCAAAATTTTCTCCACTCATAGAATCATAAAATCACGGAAGGGGCCACACAGGCCATCTCGTCCAACCATCTGCTCAATACAGGATCAAACTGCCTGGTGCCAGTTTAAAAGCCAGGTAGGATCACAACACACCAGCAACTTCATCCTCACAAACACCACCTTCCATCCTCTTCTTCTCTTTTAGCTAACAAATGAATCAAATTTAAGCTGTTCAGAAATCTTAAACTGAAATCTTACGTTTTGAAGTGACTGGTGTGCCTTTTTTAGAGGAAGTGCTACATTAGGGATAGGCACAAACCAGCTAAGCAACTAAAGTTTTTCATGAATTTTGGCCTGTGCAGAGTTTGCAAACTTTCCTTTTCTTTTATCCCCTTAGAAGTTCACTGATTCACAGATCTTGAGCAGCAGAAAATACTTGCTTCTTATTTTTTTGATCCAAGGGCTAAAAGGTCTGAGACAAATTTTGCAGTTGCTTAAACTTAGGGTCCTTATCACTCAGCAAAAGAGCCAAGGTTTCCAGAGTGTAGGGGGACAGATGGTTGACTAAAGGTTTAATATAGCGATCCCTTATATTCTCAAAGAACCTGCATTCAAGCAGGGCATGGAAGGATATGCATCTAGCCTATTAAGGCCACAAGGGCAGATTCTGTCAGAATAGGCCTATTCAAAAATCTCCTCTGTAAAACCATTGTAGCAATAGCATTCAATCTTGCAAACAAAAAAGCTCTACAGTAATGTGAGATGGTAAGATAGTACATATCCAGGGTAAAGATCTTGGGATAGAAAGACCAAAAGATAGGAGTGGGCAAACTCTGGGGGCTCTTGAGATCAGACTACTATAATCGATTTCTAGGACACGTTTTCTGATCAGAGAAAATGCTTTAGATGTGTCCATCTTAAAAATATCATTAATCAACATTCCAACTATCATAAGTTTCTCATCCAGGGCTCTCATCCAAGTCGATTTGTGGATATCTCAATTTAGAACAAACCATCTTTGGCACAGAGCTGTTTTAATCACAGTTTGAAGGCATAAAGCCATGCTATGACTTCCAAGGATATTTGTCCGAATTCTACCTGCAATACAATGTTTTACACACAGCAGGGAATATTCAGTATTTTCCTTAGAACTTGGGCTAAGGGTTGATGGATGTTATCAGAGATAGCTTTAATCCAAATAGCTGAGCCATAAAGGATGAGTGGAACCACGTTCAAATTAAAAGCTTGCACTGCTCCAGGAATATATTTCCACCTTTTATTCTGGAAGAACCTATTTATGGTGCTTGTGCATGGTTTAGCTTTATTAAGCACTGTTCTAAGTTGGGGGTCCACGACAGATCTGCTCAGGGGTCATTTCATAGAAAAAGAGGTGCAGGAGCTCATTAGCATAGCTCATTAGTATAATATTTGCATATGCCACACCCCCTGACATCACCGGAAGTGTGCCAGAAGGCGACACCCACCGCTCAGGCTCCACTGGACTGTTTTGGATTGCTAGCTATTGGGGGGGGGGAACGTGCAGATCTGTCCTCGCAGAGGAGGGTGTTAAGTCGACTACTTAACAAAGAGTCAGAGTCAGATTTCAGCAAGTGATTCAGCTTTATTGAGCAACGCGTAACACAACTAGAACAGAACAACCAGAACACCTTTTGCATTGTAGCTGTGCTTCTTTTAAACTCTCCCGGCTAATGTAGCCACGCCCTACTGTACATTACAACCAATAGGATTGTCAAGATAAAGTCCAATCACAGACGTTCCCACTCAGGGAACTGGATGGTAGGTGATTGGTCGGCTCTTCCTGGGCTACCAATAGGGATTGTAAGATTAGGATCCTTGCCCAGTATGAAGCTTTACATGGTGTTTCAGTGATTGAGTACAAACACAGTTTTTCATTAAGTTGAATACACCACAGAGGGAGAGCTTGTACCTGAATAAAACTTGGTCTTAAAGGTGCCACTGGACTGTTTTGGACTGGGGGGGGCGGGGGGAGCTCTGCAATTTACCTGGCTGCTTCTTGCTCTGACTGAGGGCTGCTGGGAGCAGGGGGTGGGGCTTGTTGCATGTGCCCTCCCCCTGGGCTCTTTACTGCCGGAGCTCCGCTCCTGTGCGCTCCTGCAGGAAATGACCCCTGGATCTGCTGAAAACAAAATCCCCAAATAGGAGAAAGTCTTGACTTGCTCAGTATTAGGCCCATTTGAGTTCCCTCCCCAGGCTCCACACCCAAAATCTCAAAGTATTTCCCAACCCTGATCTGGCAACCCTACCCTTGCCCTGCCTGGCTGATAAAAGCCATTGGAGGGGGGGGGGCTGATAGTGGGTAAGGGGAGCAGTAAATGTTTCCTTGGGGGAGGGGGTTGTACCACCAATGCTCAAGGAGGCTGTGATTAAACCTGTTTTTTTTGGGGAAAACTCCCTAAGCCCTACTATGTTAGAGAACTTCCAGCCAGTCTTCAGTCTTTTATTCTTGGGGAAGGTGCTTGAGCAGATGGCTGTTTCTCAGCCCCAGGGCTCTTGGAAGAGACTAATTTTCTGGACCCATTTCAATTTGGCTTCACCCTGGGGCTTGGAACAGAGTCTTGATTGATGACCTCTACAAAGAACTAGACGGGAAATGTGACCGTGGTTGTTCTGCTGGATTTCTCAGTGGCCTTCAATACTATTGACCATAGTATCTTACTGAGCTGCCTCTGGGGGGAGTGCCATGTTATGGTGATTCGAATCCTATTGGGGTGCGGTTTCAGAGGGCAGTGTTGGGGGATTTCTACTCTGCCCCATAGCCTGTGTGGCCCCATAGCCTGTGTGGTTCCATGGGGTTTGATCTTATCCCCCATGCTATTTATTAGCTATATGAAGCCCCTGGAAGAGGACAGGAGGCCTGGGCTGCAGTGTCACTGATATGTGGATGATACCCAACTATATCCAGCTGGGTACTTAGCTATATGTGGATGATACACAGCTATTTTCTTTCCCACTTAATTCCAAGGATGCAGTTGATGTTGTGAACCAGTGTTTGGAGTCAGTAATGGGTTGGATGAGGGCGAAAAAGCTGAAATTTAATCCTGAGAAGACAGAGGTTCAGTGGGTAGTAGACAGGCAGGCCAGAGACTTGAGATCTCTCCTGTCTTGAATGGGCTTATGTTCCCTTTGAAAAGCCAGGTTTGCAGCTTGGGAATGCTACTTAACACATCAGTCACTTTGGAAAATCAGGTGTCTGTGGTGGTTTGGAGTGTTTTTGCCAGGCTTTGGCTGGTGTGTCAACTGTGTCCATTCCTGGGTCACTCAGATCTAGCCACAGTTACATCTAGAGTGCAGTCAGACATGCAGTTTGATCAGTCGTTGTGACAAACTAAAGGTTTGTTGATCAGCAGCAGGTAAACAAGACAGCTGCTGTGTCTCATGACTGAAAGTGGTGGGGGCAGGTTACTCGAAATTCTCAGGGAGTGACAGTTAAGAGTTGACTGTTGACAGTAAAGGGTGTTAGCTGGTGAACTCTTGGAAAAAAGGGAGCTTCTGGAGCGGAGTGTAAAAGCACGCCAGTAGTTTGAGGAAAACTAGGGCTGGATAATGCTCCTAACTGGTCCCCTCTAATGAGAGAGGATAGTGAATGGAGAGGAGAAACTGAAATAACTCCTCAGTACTCACAAACTAACATGCACACTCCTCCAAGGGAACTTGTGAGGTGGTTAAAGGAAGGACTAGGGGTCTGGAAGAGACTGTGGAAAAGCTGGAATAGTCTCTGAGAGTCAGACAGAGAAAGTTACCGGAGAGTGAAATCACAAATGGTATCAAGGTACCAAAATCAGTCTGTGACAAACTTAGAGTTAAAACACTACAGCCTATGTTAATGCAGAGTGAAGCATTCATACCAAGCAACAACAATATATTCTGTGCAAATATCCCCCCCCGCTGAGTTTCTGTGAATAAAGAGTTGTACTGTTTGCCTTTCAAAAGCACTGGTGCCTGACTTATTGATAGGGATTCATACCTGGCAGACATCCTCAATCCACAAGAGATACAATCCCCAAAGAGACTTTATAGAGTAAACTGGTCATCCCTCGGAAAGACGAAGTGATCAGTCAGAACAGAGTGAGAATCTGAATCCAATAGTATAAACTGAGGCCCCACTCAGTCGAGATTGTTGCAGTTGTCGTCACTGTTCCCTAGTAGATTTAAACTGCACAATCAGACAGCAACATCTGCCTCCCATTCCCAGTTATTGGGCTCCCACTCTAATTCCTCTTCAAACTGTATTAATTTGTTACCTGGTCCATTCCAGTATTTTCCCAGTCATCCATTTTCACACTGCTGTTTTCACTGTCTGAACTCTCCTGTCATGATGTCAAGCCACTTCTGGATGTCGGAACTCCCTCCTGGTGCAAAAGCTGCTTTAGAAGCCTGAAGCTTCCAGTTAATGTCTACCATTTTTTTGAGTCAGCTATATGCACATAACCGGACCTCCACTCACCCTTTTTTTGGGCAATGCTCACACGTTCACTTGTTTCAATGTTTGGGTAGGTTCAGGAGTCCACAGAGGGTCACTTTGGGCCAAAATTTGAAAGCGAAGTGTTGTGTTACATCGGTTGGACGGAGGTAGAAATAGTCCCTAGTTTGCACAGCATGTTGGTGGCCATGTTTCCTGTGCTGGAATTTATTTCCCTGTGCTACATCAGGGGCTTCTTTTGGTGAGAAAGTGAGACTCTGCATTAATGGTTGGTGTTAGAAGGGTCTCCTGGCATTGTGAGAAGAGACTTTAGAACTGATCGCTCTCTGGGGGGAGGCAAGAAAGTGCAGAATGAACTCCAGCAGTCCCACAGGAACATTGACATTTATCAAGAAATTGCCAAGAGTATGGCTTCTAAAGGTTACCAGCGGACTGCCTTGGAATGCCGGACCAAAACTAAGGGACTTCGCCTGACATACAAGAAGGTGGTGGCCCACAACTCAAAATTGGGCAACTCATTAAAGACTTCACCCTACTATGAGGAGCTTAACCAGATCCTGCAGGGGAGGGCCAGTGTGATGGGGAGGACATTGCCACACAGCTTTGAGGACAAGACTGTACCCAGGACCAATGAGAGGAGCATCCCTCCCTCCCAAGAAGCGACCCTGGATCTGTTTCCCCTCAAAGAAGAGTCAGTAGATGACAGTCAAGAGCCACCATCCGGATCAGTCAGCTCATTTGGTGAGTGTTGATCTAAAAGTCCATGTGTATGTGTGTGAGGGCTCCAGCCCCAATTCACACAGCATTCTGCCCCCCCTGCAACTCCAGCCCTCTGGTGACAATGACTGGTCTAGAGGGTGGACTCAATGGCATCTTATTTCACTAAAGCCTCTCCCTCCCAAACCCCCGCCCTACTCAGACTCCACCACAAAATTCCCAAGAATTTTCATTGGGTATGTGCCCTGATAGAACCCAGACAAATATTTCCATATCAATCTTGGCATGTCTGAGATGTGTTGCCTTACCCTCCCTATTACTCTATCCATCTGGTTTTCAGAGTCAGCTGTGTGGTTGGCTATAATACCTGGGACTGTTGTGGACCATGGAGTGTTTCTCGCTGAACTCAATTTACTGATATCACACTACATTTTCTGTTCATTTCAGAAGTAGATGGTGAAATCTCCATGAATCAGGTGGAAGAAGGGGGTGAAGAGGATATGGACGAAATGATGGTGGAGTTCCCACCACAAGAAGGTGCGTATGGTGAGACCAGCACTCAGGAGGTGACCCTCACTATGTGGTTCAGTGGTGGGATCTGCAGTGCACTGGAGCAGTAGAAATTTGGGTGGTGTTATGTCCGCTGACTGCCACTAGGCGCCAGCGGTATGCAACCCGAGCTTGGCTCCGTAAGAACAATAGGGACTAGGATCCTGAGTCTCCCAGTTAGCACCTATCCGAACTGTGGCGGGAAGTACAAACTTTCCAATGGGACTGGTGGGTGTGCCCCTGGGACTGTATATAGTTTGCCACCCCGGCCAGTATTGTGTTGTTGTGTTGTGTACCAGTAAACTATGAGCTGTTAATCACTGAGCGTCTGTCTTCTCTACGTGTTGAACCCATTACGCAACAATGGCGACAAGGATGGAATCCTGCTGAGCTGGCTGAGTCACTGGGGCACCAGAAGAAGACCAGGAACCGCCGCTGCTTCAACAGATGAGCAATGAAGGTGCACAAGCCACTTCCCTGCCATAACCATGCAGCACGATGGCAGTCGCTCCGGGATCAGGACTGGTTTCACCGTTCGACCCTATCTGGCCGTATCATTGGGAAGCCTGGGTTGAGGGACTCAAGTCCATCTTGGTATTCCATGAGGTCACCGATGAAGGAAGGAAGAAGGGCCTCCTCATCGGCTCATGTGGCCCCGCCACAGTGGAGCTAGCTTGCAACTTGCTCGCACCAACCAAGCTAGCTGACATCACGTTCAAGGAGATCGTCAAGGAGCTCCAGGATCACTTTGTTCCCAGGCCATCAGAGATCTCGCGCCACGTGGCATTTCACTCCCCCTCTGTCCCTGCAGCTTGACCCCCACGTGACCCCCATCTGCATGCGTTCCAGGAAGGTCCTGTTCGCTCTGAAACCAAAAATAGACACGGATCTGGACCGTGTCGTAGAACAAGGAGTCCCAGAACCGGTCTCCCAGGCAGCGTGGAAGACCCCCATAGTCACCCCAGTTAAGTCTAACGGGGACGTCCGCATCTGCATGGATTACAAGTGCACATTAAATAAGGTACTTCAGGACCATGCTTATCCAGTCCCGGTAGTAAGCCATGTGCTAGCCACTTTGGCAGGGGCGAAGATCTTTGGCAAACTCGATCTTGCCCAGGCTTACCAACAGCTCCCAGTTGATGAGGCAACCTCCACTGCACAACCATCGTAACTCATAGAAGGGCTTTTAAAGTAAAGAGACTGCAGTTTGGGGTCAGCGTGGCCCTGGGGCTTTTTCAATGTATGATAGATTCTCTCTTGAAAGGGATCTCGGGCGTCACGCCGTTTTTTGATAACGTGCTGATCGCCGTGGCTATGCCGGTCGAGTTTGCCTCCAGACTGCGCGCCATCCTCCACCACTTCCACAAGGCCGGGCTGAAAGTGAAGCGGGAGAAGTGCCTGCTGGGGGTTCCAACCATTGATTTCCTGGGCTTCACGGTCGATGCAGACGGCCTCCATCCGGCTAGGGACAAAGTGAATGCCATCATTGAGGCTCCCCCGCCCAAATCTAAGGCAGAGCTCCAGGCGTTCCTGGGGCTCTTGAACTTCTATCACGCCTTTCTCCCCCACAAGGTAGCGGTTGCAGAGCCCTTGCACCGCCTCCTGAACAAGCCCCGCCAAGCCGCCGCATTCAAAGGTGTCAAAGTGCTGCTTGTCTCTAATGAAGTCCTGGTACATTTAGATGAATCCTTGCCTGCAACGCTTCCCCCTACAGCATGGGCACTGTGTTGGCCCACCAGCTCCCAGACGAGCAGGAGGTGCCTGTCGCATACTACTCCCAGACGCTGTCGGTGGTGGAGCGGAACTACGCCCAGATTGACCGCGAGGGTCTCGCAATCGTGGCGGGCGTAAAGAAGTTCCATGACTTCGTCTACGGCTGGCCCTTCACCATTGCCACAGACCATCACCCGCTTCTCGGTCTCTTCGCTGTGGACTGGCAGACGCCACAGGTCCTCTTGCCGCAGGTCCTCCGGTGGTCCATTTTTCTGTCCGGCTACAACTATGCCCTCGAACACCGCCCCGGGAAGGCTATGGGTCATGCCAACGCCTATAGCCGCCTACCCGTTGTCCATCGAGGCCGACCCGCCTCTGGCACACCACGTCCTACTGGTTGAGGACCTCCCTGAGTCTCCCCTTCAGGCAAGGGACGTTGCTCGCTGCTTGGCCAGGGACCCAATCTTCTCCTGAGTTCTGGGCTGGGTGGTGAGGGGGTGGCCCACGGCCGCAGCGGGCCCTATCTTCGCGGCCTACACAACACGCAGGGATGAGTTGTCTGCACACAAGGGATGCCTACTGTGGGGGGACAGAGTGGTAGTCCCCAGTGCCCTGCGTAACCACGTCCTAAAAGCCCCGCTCGAAGCCCACCCAGGGATCGTCCGCATGAAGGCCCTGGCCAGGAGTTACATATGGTGGCCAGGAATTGATGCGGAAGTGGAGGCTTGGGTGAAGCACTGCCAAACGTGCCAAGCCATCCAGCTGTCTCCACTGAGCGCACCCACACAATCTTGAGAGTCCACCAGAACGCATTGGTCAAGGCTCCACATTGATTTCGCTGGACCATTTCATGGACTGCTATTTCTGGCCACGGTCATCTCCTACTCAAAGTGGCTGGATATAAGCCCTGTCTCTGCCACCTCCTCCAAGGCCATAATCTGAGCCCTTCGTTGGATCTTCATGACCCACGGGCTGCTCGACATCATCGTCTCAGACAACGGGTCGGCATTCACATCCGAAGAGTTCCAGGAGTTCCTCCACAGCAACCTGATCAGGCACATGAGGTCTGCCCCGTTCCACCCCGCCCCCAATGGGCAGGCGGAATGGATGGTGCACACTGCTAAAGAAGCACTTAGCTGCCTGATGGAGGGGGACTGGGAGTTTTGTCTGGCCCGTTTCCTCTTGGCGCAACGGACCACTCCCAACCCAGTCAATGGCTGCTGCCCGGAAGAACTTCTGATTGGCTGGCGGCCCGCAATTCTCTTGGACAGACTACATCCCTATAGGGCCTCAGAGTCGCACAGTCTGTCCAAACAGAGGGAGGCGCCCCACGGGTTCTTCCTGGAGGACACAGTATACGTCCGGATCTATGGCAAGGGCTCCCCATGGCTAGCTGGCTGAATACTCTGCGCCACAGGTCCCGTGTCCTACGAGGTTTCCACAGAAGGTGGCCAGGTCCTGCAGCGGCATGTCGACCAGCTGAGACGGCGCCTGCTCCCGGCTTCGGAGAACACCCCTGCTTCAGGTAACCATAACGCAGACCTTCCAGACAGCCCCGACCGCAAAACCGACAGTGGTAGTTTGCAGGAGCAGGCTCCCATCCCCAGGACACAGCTGGACAACAGGCCGCCTGCCTCTGCCCCGGCACCGGAAGAGGCTCCTCCACCACTGCAGCCGAGCGCACCGGTAACTCCGCCAGCTAAGGCTTCCGACGCCCTGTGCCTGCTCCGAGGCTTTCAACGCGAGAGCACCAGCCCCCAACCTATCTCAAAGACTATGTCACCTAGGCTGGGCTCATACTATGGGGGGAGGGGTGTTATGTCCACTAACCGCCACTAGGCACCAGCGGTATGCAACCCAAGCTTGGCTCCGTAAGAATAATAGGGACTAGGATCCTGAGCCTCCCAGTTAACACCTATCGGAACTGTGGTGGGAAGTTCAAACCTTCCAATGGGACTGGTGGGTGTGCCCCCGGGACTGTACATAGTTGGCTGCCCCGGCCGGTATTGTGTTGTTGCGTTGTGTACCAGTAAAACTATGAGCTGTTAATCACTGAGCGTCTGTCTTCTCTACACGTCGAACCCAGTACACAACAGGTAGACATCTGGGATATTCTTGTCCAAAACACTTCACGGTGCGGAATACTTTGACCCTCCCATTCACCACCCAAAAAATGTCCCTGCCCCTTCCCCTGATGATGGGAAAACTGGCACAGTGAAGATGTCAACCAGTCACCCAGACAGAAATTCAACAGATAGTGGGAGCCTGATAAGGTGCCAATACTTGGGTGAGTAGGCAATCATACCGTCCCCATCTCTTGATCTGCTGGAGTGCGCAGGATCAGCATTGATAACTATGCATGGATTGGAAGACATTTCTTGGTGATGGTGGTGTGTTTCTGAATCACAACCACAACCTTATTCTATCTGTCCACTGATTAACACATCTTTTTTCCACTGTGCACTACTTGTATGTTTACATCCGATCAGGTTGAAGCATGCAGGAGGTGAGTCTCCACCCCCGACCAACAAGCAACGTGGTATACCAGGGCTTTAGGAAGTGGTGACAGGAGCTGATGTCTGCTGCATGTCAACCGGTCACTGGCAAATGATCATCCTCCCCCCCCCCAAAGTTTCCACCAGGAGTGAACCTCTCTGACTTGTCACCTAATTCCCGCTTGACCATTATAACGGCAAGGACAAAGCGTGTTTCAGCTCTTCAGAAAATTGGAGAGGAGATTATGCTGCAGTCTACCAGGGAGCACAAGGTGCTGCTTGAGGTGGGTAGAAAAGACCAGGAAGACTTTATGCAGGTAATGTCAGCATCATATGACGAAGAGAGGCAGTCCCGTGAAGCCACATGCGGCATCTTGCAGGTCGCCCTCACCGCATTGACAGACCTCACAAGGACAATGTTGGGGGTGCTGAGGCTGCCCTGCAGATGGCCAATATACACACTATTTGTCCAGCACTCATTGTGGATCTAAACAGCCCAGGGAATGAGGATGGTGATGTTGGGAATTCACACAACAATGATATGGTGGCAGTGGGATGGCGGCACCACGACTAGACAAAGATCAGCCATCAGTCTCCTCTCATGGCATGCCCCGCGTTGGCCACTGGAAGCGAGTCATCAAGGCCAAAAAACCCTACTCTCCACCAGAGTGAGTCTGGCCAACCCCCAGCTCCTCCCCTTTCATGGATTAGAGTTGTTGCTATAGACTGTTTGCTTGGTTGAAATGTTGGCTCCACACATTCACTCTGTCCTGTTTGGGGTTTTTTTATCCAGTACTGTCCTCCATTGTATTTCAGGGATGCGGTGATGTTGGCACTGTTTTCTGTGCTCTCTCTAAAATAAC